CAGAGGCACAGAGGCACAGAGGCACAGAGGCACAGAGGCACAGAGGCACAGAGGCACAGAGGCACAGAGGCACAGAGGCACAGAGGCACAGAGGCACTGAGGCACAGAGGCACAGAGGCACAGAGGCACAGAGGCACAGAGGCACAGAGGCACAGAGGCACAGAGGCACAGAGGCACAGGGGCACAGAGGCACAGAGGCACAGAGGCACAGAGGCACAGAGGCACAGAGGCACAGAGGCACAGAGGCACAGAGGACGAAGGAAGAGACAGTATGACAGAGGCACGAGGCACAAGAGGGCACAGAGGCAACAGAGGCACAGAGGCAAGGAGGCACAGAGGACAGAGGACAGGGACACAGAGGACAGAGGACAGAGGCACAGGAGGCAGAGGACAGAGGCACAGAGGACCGAGGCACGTGTGCGGAAGGACAGAGGCAACAGAGGCACAGTGGACAGAGGCACTGAGGCAAGAGGGCAAGAGGAAGAGGGCACAGAGGACAGATGCACAGCGAGGCACAGAGGCACAGAGGCACAGAGGCACAGAGGCACAGATGCACAGAGGCACAGAGGCACAGAGGCACAGCGGCACAGAGACACAGAGACACAGAGACACAGAGACACAGAGACACAGAGACACAGAGACGCAGAGGCACAGAGACACAGAGACACAGAGACACAGAGACACAGAGACACAGAGACACAGAGGCACAGAGGCACAGAGGCACAGAGGCACAGAGGCACAGAGGCACAGAGGCACAGAGGCACAGAGGCACAGAGGCACAGAGGCACAGAGGCAAAGAGGCACAGAGGCACAGAGGCACAGAGGCACAGAGGCACAGAGGCACAGAGGCACAGAGGCACAGAGGCACAGAGGCACAGAGGCACAGTGGCACAGAGGCACAGAGGCACAGAGGCACAGAGGCACAGAGGCACAGAGGCACAGAGGCACAGAGGCACAGAGGCACAGAGGCACAGAGGCACAGAGGCACAGAGGCACAGAGGCACAGAGGCACAGAGGCACAGAGGCACAGAGGCACAGAGGCACAAAGGCACAGAGGCACAGAGGCACAGAGGCACAGAGGCACAGAGGCACAGAGGCACAGAGGCACAGAGGCACAGAGGCACAGAGGCACAGAGGCACAGAGGCACAGCGGCACAGAGGCACAGAGGCACAGAGGCACAGAGGCACAGAGGCACAGAGGCACAGAGGCACAGAGGCACAGAGACACAGAGACACAGAGACACAGAGACACAGAGACACAGAGACACAGAGACACAGAGACACAGAGACACAGACACACAGACACACAGACACACAGACACAGAGACACAGAGACACAGCCACAGCCACAGACACAGACACAGACACAGACACAGACACAGACACAGACACAGACACAGACACAGACACAGACACAGACACAGACACAGACACAGACACAGACAAAGACACAGACACAGACACAGACACAGACACAGACACAGACACAGACACAGACACAGACAAAGACACAGACACAGACACATCCGTAGCCATTTTGGCTGAAGCCATTTCGGCTGAGCTGGCTGCGCCCGGCGCCCCTTCTCCGGGGCTTCCTGTGCCCTGCGCAACTTCGCCCGCCGGCATGGAGCTGGAGGCACTGTTGTCCAGGTGCCCGGTGGCCGCCGCGGCCTTTGGCGCGGTGGCGGCGGCGCTGTGCGCGCCGAGCGCGCCCGGCCGCCAGGTGGCCATGGTGGCAGCCTCCGTGGTCCGCGCCGCTGGCGCGACTCCCCACGGAGCGCGTGGAGGTGAAGGCGTCCCGGTGTGTGGCGAGGGTGTCACGGCTGCGGCGCACATCAACATCCAGGAAGACCTCTTGCTGGCCGCGCAGGCGTCTTTGGGCCTGAAGCAGAAGCCAGGCGTATCGGACGTCAAGCGCGAGCTTCGGCGGAGAGGATGCAGCTCCTTAGCCTCGAAGTGCGGCCGGCTTTCGAAGCTGCGGAACACCGAGGCCCACATGGCGGCGAGCCTCCCGGCGGCGGTGGCGGCTGCGCTGATGGGCTCGCCTGAGTCGGGCGACCAGCAGCCCGGCTCGGTGGGCCGCTTGGTGCTTGACACGGTGTCCAGCGAGGAGTTTGCGACGGCCTCTGACTCCCAGCACGGCTCCTTGCCGCTGGAGAAGAAGCTGGTGTCGTCCCAGTCGCCGGCCTCGGACTTCCTGCACGACCCCGAGAAGCAGGAGGTAAAGTTGGAGGAGATCAAGTTGCTGGTCTCGGACGAGCAGTTCGTCAAGAGCGGCTGCGCCACGCCTACCGCTGCCCGCTTGGGTGGGCGCATGGGCGGGGCCAAGCTCCCTGTGGAGGCCGAGGCGCCGACGGAGGCCGCGCCGCCCATGAAGCAGGCCTCAGCTATGGGAACCGCCGCGTACGACGAGGATGAGTTCCGCGAGGCGACCAAGGGCCTCAGCGGGCGCCAGTCCTTAGTCCTGGCCGTCGTCGACGGCATCGTGGAGGGCAATGTCGATGTGTCCCTGTCTGAAGTCCTCAGGCTGCTGGACGGCATGGGAGTGCCTCATGTGCCCCAGGGGCCTCGTCTTGTCAGGGACCGTGTCGCCCTCCTGCGGAAGCGTCGGGCCCTTCTGAGGTGCTCGTCTGAATGATTGCAGTTGATATGTTCGTCTTGTGAGGCCTTCTGTTCTGTGCAGTCTGCGCCCGCGCGAGGTGAAGTGTCATGCAGTGATTCCCTCCTGTATTTGTATGGGTGCGTGCCAGGCCGCCTCTCGTTGGTTTGCGCGGATCCATCATGCCGTCGAGAATGTTGTCTTTACTTTCAGCCTCCTGCTCTGCATTCTGTGTGCATGCAGGAGTTGCCCCGAGTCGGAGATTGAGGGTTTGGCGTGTCGAGCGTGCTCTCGGGGCCGATGTGCCCTGGAGGTTTTGCCTCCGACGTCGTCGATGCTCTCTGGGCCGAAGCGCCCCCTTCGTGTCTTGGGAAGGCCCCTGTGGGCCGTGGCTTCTCAGTGAGGCCTTGGCCCACTGTGGGCTCCTTTTGCATTTCTTGGCCCCGCGTCACAGACGCAGACACAGACGCAGACACAGACACAGACGCAGACACAGACGCAGACGCAGACACAGACACAGACACAGACACAGACACAGACACAGACACAGACACAGACACAGACGCAGACACAGACACAGACACAGACACAGACACAGACACAGACACAGACACAGACACAGACACAGACACAGACACAGACACAGACACAGACACAGACACAGACACAGACACAGACACAGACACAAACACAGACACAGACACAGACACAGACACAGACACAGACACAGACACAGACACAGACACAGATACAGACACAGACACAGACACAGACACAGGCACAGGCACAGGCACAGGCACAGGCACAGGACAGGAACTGGCACACAGCACAGGCACAGACAGACACAGACACAGACACAGACACAGACACCACAGACACAGACACAGACACAGACACAGACACAGACACAGACACAGACACAGACACAGACACAGACACAGACACAGACACAGACACAGCCACAGCCACAGACACAGACACAGACACAGAGACAGACACAGACACAGACACAGACACAGACACAGACAAAGACACAGACACAGACACAGACACAGACACAGACACACACAGACACAGACACAGACTCAAACACAGACACAGAGACAGACACAGACACAGACACAGACACAGACACAGACACAGACACAGACACAGGCACAGGCACAGGCACAGGCACAGGCACAGGCACAGGCACAGGCACAGACACAGACAAAGACACAGACACAGAGACAGACACAGACACAGACACAGACACAGACGCAGACACAGACTCAGGCACAGGCACAGGCACAGGCACAGGCACAGGCACAGGCACAGACACTGACACAGACACAGACACAAACACGGAGGGTCAGACGGCGCCTGAGCGAGCCGGTGCCAGTGGTGTGGGAGGCCCAAAGCTTTTCCCAGGGCCTGGGCGAACCTGCGAGTGCGGCACCTGGCCGAGGGGGGCGATGAGGGCCGCCGACGGGCGGGTGGCCGATGCCCCTCACCCCCCCGCGCTCCCCGTCGAGGCCGCTGACGAGCGGGTGGCCGGGACCCTCGACGGGCGCAGCGAAGCCAAGGTGCCAAGTGACCAGAGGACGCGGATGACGGCGCAGGAGGCCTGCGTTGGCAAGGCTCGCCTCGGGCAGCAGCCCGCCCCTGAGTCTGACCCTCGAGGACCTTGCCCCCTGCGTGCTGGCCTGGAAGTCCTGGGCTGCAACGGTAACGTCTGGAACAGGAGCGTCGAGGTCCTCGAGGCCTTCGTTCACGCCCACCAGTACTGGCCGCAGCTGGTCCTCCTTCAGGAGACGAGGCTAACCCAGGAACGGCTCCCTGGGGCCAGGGCGATGGCACGCCGCCTCGGCTACGCCGCCTTCTTCCATGAGGCGGTGGCCGCGGGCCAGCCTGGCCCGAACGCCACGTCGGGCGGCGTCGCGATCCTGGTGAGGGCTGGGCTCCAGGCCGAGGAGTCAGCATGCCAGCTCCCTGCGGCCCTGCGCCACCGCCTCATCGGCGTTGAGGTGGCGGCGCCGTCGGGCCTCCGTCTCCTGGCCTTGGCTGGGTACTTCCAGCGCTCCCTGGGCCCGCGGGGGACCAACCTCGACCTGTTCTCCTCGGTCTCGGACCTCGTGGCATTCTCGCTCGACTTGCCCTGGGTCCTCCAGGCGGATTTCAACGTGGAGCCCGAGCCCCTGCAGGAGTTGGGCTGGCCTGCAGCGGTTCGAGGTCAGGTGCTCGGACCCTCTGAAGCGACCTGCGTCGCCCAGGGCGTGGAGCACGTCTACGACTGGTTCGTCGCGTCGTCCGACCTGGCCAAGTGCACGGTGTCCTGCGCGACCACGCTCAACGACTTCGGGCTGCGCCCGCACTCTCCCGTGCTGCTGCGCCTCCAGGACGTCAGGTGCGATGCCCTGGTTGAGGTGCCCTCCCGTCCAGCTCGGTTTCCAGAGGTGGAGGTCAAAGGAGCGCGCTCCCGCGAGGACGCCTTGGTCCAGGCCTTCACTGTCTGCAAGCGCGGCAAGGTGTCGCAGAGGGGCGTTGCTTGGTCATGGGCTCAGGGTTCGCGCCCGACCTGCCTCTCTGCTGCTTTCGGCGAGTGGGTCGAGGCGCCGGGGGGCACCCTCACGGGCATCCATGAGATTGCGCCAGGCGACCTGCCACGCTACCTTGGGTGAGCGGCAGGGCCCAAGACCAGGCGCATGCCCTTCAGCGCGCTGGTGCAGCGTGAGGCCAGGCTGAAGTACAGCATGCTGGCCCACCGCCTGAGGAGCTGTCTGGCGGTCGCCCTCCAGAGGCTTCGCGCCGAGCAGGCCAGCAGGTGGCACCCGACCCACTCTTGGTGGCATGAGCAGCAGGCTGCGGCGAGGACGAAGCTCCTGGACGAGGCGACCCAGGAGGAGGCTTGTCTTCGGAGCGCGCCCCTCCTAGGGGCCTCCGACGAGAAGTGGGGGGACCTCGCCTTCCACGCGGGGGCGAAGGGCTGCCCTACGGCGATCGCCAAGCTGCAGTCGTGGCTCCTGGCGCCCCAGAGGCGCGATGCCGCTGAAGGAGCTGCCGCGTGGCGCAGTTGGGACGAGACGGCGGTGGAGAAAGGAGGCCGCCTGGCCCACCGCTTCTCCAAGGCGGCTCCCACGCCTGTGGTCAGGGACGCCGACACAGGGAGGCCCCTCGTCGGCATGGGCGCCGTTGACCAGCTCACGCGCACCTGGCTACGGCCCGTCTGTGGGGCTGGGCTGCGACAACCTGCACCCTCGCCAGCTTCTCCTGTGGCCAGTGGCGCTGCAGCTTCGCCTGATCGACATCCTCGCGGCGTTCGAGGACGAGCCTTCTTCGATCAGGGGACAGGTGACGCTCATGGTTTTTATTCCTAAAGCTGACGGAGGGACGAGGCCCATCGCGCTGCTCCCGCTGGCCTTGCGGCTTTGGTCTCGCCTGAGGCAGCCGTGCTGTGCCCGATGGGAGTCAGACCGCAGCTTTCCCTTCTTCTGGGGTCGCGATGGCCGCGATTGCGAAAGAGCGGGTTGGATCCGCAACTGCTTCGCCGGCTTCGCGATGGCCTCCCCGCACTTCGAGGTGGCCAGCGTGTTCCTGGACATCCGCAAGTTCTACGAGCACGTGCGCCACGACGTCCTCTGGACGTCAGCCCAGCGCTTTGGCTTCAACCTGAAGCTGCTGCGCGGCCTCCTCGCCATCTACCAGGCCCCGAGGATCGTGCTGGCAGGTGGCATGGCTTCGGCCCTCTTTGGGGCCAGTGGCGCAGTGCTGGCGGGCTGCGCGTGTGCGACGGCTGTTGCTAAGCTTCCCCTTCTTGGAGGCCTCCTCGCAGCTGGGGCTCAGCGGCCTCTTGCCACCCTGCGCAACCTGGTGGGCGACGTCTCGCTCCAAGCTGTCGGCTCGGCGAGGCTGGTCGTGGACCAGCTCGCGGGGGCCAGCGGGGAGGTGCTGCGACACCTGCGGGCCCACCACCTCCCGCTCAACGAGGGTAACTCCGTCTTCCTGGCCTCGCCTGCACAGGTGGCGGACGGCCTCGCCGCCAGCTGGGCCGCCCTCGGCTTCGAGGTCAAGCGTGGCCCCCAGGCCCGCAACCTGGGCACCGACGCCGACGTGACCCGCAGAGGGGCCCATGAGGGAGGCGCCCGCGCTGTGGGAGGCCTCTCCCGCGCCAGGCGGCTGAGAACCCTGGGCTCGGCGGGGGCCGTGGGCACGAGGGTTCCCAGAAGCCTCTTGGGTCGGGGGCGGCAAACAGGGGGGTGATGACCACAAGGGGGGTGGATACCATGGCGTGGGCCATCATGCTTTCTCAGATCTCATGTCCCCTCTTTTTTTATTTCGTCGCATTCCCGCCCCTCCCCCCCCCCCCTGCTGGGCCGCGCACATGCCGCCTGCCACGGTTTGACGGTTTGCGCCCCCCCCCCCCCCCTCTTGGACGCCCCACTCTTGGCCGCCCCCGCCCCTGAGATCCGACGCTCCCTCCAACAAAACCACAGCAGCGGGATTCTGGCAGTCTTCGGCCTCCGGGGCCCTCCCCCGGCCTCGGGAGCCAGTCCAAGGGAAGTGGTCCGAACCCTCGGGGTCTACGCCCCCGAAAAACTGGAGCAGCCGGATGTCTGGGGCGTTCCCCGCCGTCCGACCGCCGTCCCCTCCTCTCCTTGGCCTCGTTCGGGCGTGTTTTTTTGTTTTTTTTTGGGGGGGGGGTGAAGAAACATGGCATTCCTGCGGGGATCACTGAGGAGCCTCCTGGATCATCCTGCCCCCCAAAAACCAAGACATCCGGCTGCTCCAATTTTTTGGGGGGGCGTGGACCCCAGAGGTTCGGACCACTTCTCCGGGACCGGTTTTTCAACCTGATTCGTTTTTTGACGCTCCCGAGGCCGGGCGAAGGCCCCCGGTGGCCGAAAGCTGCCGCAATCCCGCCG